GCCACAGGTTTCCATTGTGCACCATTATGACCTTCTAGCCACCTGCGTCCTGACAACTAATGACATCATCAGTTGATAAGGAGGATGTTGGTTGCCTGCACAGCATCCCAGTTTGACCCTCCCCTGCCCCTCTCCATCAGCGTTGGGGTCACATTAGCTCAGTGATGGAGAAAAACTGAGGGAGAAGAGAAACATTGGAATACTAGTCAGTACCAGTGTGCAAAAGTGTATTTGCTTTGGAAGGATAAATCACCTGTAATGTTGGGTGTCCTACATGTGTGAATGTTGCTGCATTATATAAAACTATTAGAATAGTTTTTCACATTTTAGAATGGGGTGCCCTTTTAAAATAATGAACAGACTTGAGGCACCCCATTTTAGAATGGGGAGCCTCAAGACTGTTCATAATTTTAAAGGGTGCCTCGGGACTGGCCATAATTTTAAAGGGTGTCTTGCCTGAAAAACGGTTGAGAAACACTGCTTTAAATCATAAACTCCATATCATTTATAAAAAAGGTTAAAGAGATAGTATACTGATCTAGATACTTTGGAGAAATATTAGTTTCCTTTTATTCCTGATGATGCGGGCATGTTGTTCTGTGCAACATGTTAAATAAAAGTATGATAAAGAGCTACCATCACATCATCTACTTATCACCACTACATACATTATAGAGGGCTGTGGATAAGGGGGTACCACCAGTCCTCATGTACAGGACCCAGGCAAATGGGTGAATTGGATGTGGGCAGGGAGGGTGATCAGCACGGCGGGGGGGAAGGGGGGGCAATTATTGGATTGGATGTGGACATGAGGGTGATCGGCACAGCGGGGGCAATTACTGCAACCAATCCCCTGTAGGGTGTTCTTAGCGGCAGCTGAAAGCTGGCTTCTTCTCCTCTCACTCCAGCTGGCTTTCAGCTGCTGCAGAGAGATCTATACAGGGGATCGGTTCCAGTAATTGCCCCTCCACCGTACCCATCGCCCTCCCTATGCACCATATGTTCCCCCTGCTGCCCAGATCCCCTTGTATGCCCCCACCCCCACAGTGCTGCCGGCTTCCCTTCTTTATGTCCCACTGGCAGCTGCAAGCACACAATAGAATCCTTCAGGATAGAGAGTAGGGGAAGGATCCGGTAAATATATCACATTTACCAGCCCCTGAATGAACACAAAGAGTGATCGGTACCAAACATAACTGAAGAATAGTAAACTGTGGTTTTTGTTTTTTTTTGAGGGGCCCCGTAAGGTTAGATGTAGGGGACTCCGTGGTTTCTAACAGCAGCTCTGACAGTATATCTAGATTAGGGATATATGCTTGTTTGTTGTTGAAGGCAGAACAGTAGCTAAATGGTTAGCACTTCCAACTGGCAGCACTAGGGTTGTTGGTTCGAATCCCAACCATGGCACCTGCCTGGAGTTTGCATGTTTTTCCTGAGCCTGTGTGGGTTGGTCCTCCGGGTACTCCAATTTCCTCCCTCACTCCAAAGACATGCTGGTTAATTGACTCCTTTCTAAATTGGCCCTAGTATGTGTATGTATGACTGTGAGGTAGGGACCTTATATTGTATGATCCTTGAAGGTTAGGGACTGATGTGAATGTACAATATATATGTAAAGCGCTGCGTAAATTGATGACGCTATATAAGTACCTGTAATAAAATAATCATAAATTTTGTTTGGTTTTGGGTTTTGATGTGATGTTTTATATGATTTTATGTATGGTTAGAGATAACAAAAGCAGAACAGGACATTAGCGAAACACGTTAGCTTACCCCACCAAGGGTTTATCATCACTTTGGACTGATATTATGGACTCTTCTTCTCTGTTTTTATCCCCCTTTGGTTTGTGAGTATGCAATTTTATGATTTTAAATAAATTTGTGTTTCACCACGGTAAGTACGATGAGAGTGCGCCCTGTTTTGCTTTTGTTTACTAATACCAAGATTTCCCGATCTTCTAAGGGCTGCACCTCAACATTTGGCATTTAAATTTATCCTAGTCTGCATGAAGACTTGAGCGCTGGTTTCGTTTGTATATATGGTTATGGATAAATAAACAGACTCTTTGTCTTAGATTGTAAGCTCTAACAAGCAGGGCCCTCTAATTCCCCCTATATTCATTTGTATTGGAATTGTACTGTCTGCCCTTATGTTATAAAGCATTGCGTAAACTGTTGGCACTATATAAATCCTGTATTATAATAATAATATTAGACACTTGTGGTATCATAAAAGTTACACTCAGGGACGGACTGACCATTCGACAACTCGGGCACTGCCTGAGGGCCCGGGGTCAGTAGGGGGCCCCATGAGATGCCCCTGGTACCTTTCATAGGCTTTTTTGGGTGTGGTTTGAGTGTGGACGAGGACACAGGGGCCCCATGATCCCCTATTGCCCGGGGGCCCCATGAGTTGTCAGTCCGCCCCTGGTTACACTATTACTATCTTTTTGAATTATGTATAAATGGGGACAAAAATAACTAATTTCCTAGATATACAGTGCAATTCAAGCATTTGTCCGCTGAAAGAAGGTACCGGTATAAACTGATGTGTTCATCTTTCTGTCACTCTGCTGTCTCATAGAAGTATGTCTCCTGTTAGTACATGAGCACTGCAGCAACTGATTGGATACTTCTCTCAGTCTGAGCTTTGCTGTACAGCATAGGTGTCAAACAGAAGGCCCGCGGTCCTTTCAGTGCAACTGCAGCACCCCCTCATCTCTGCCTTCCCTGGTCTCAGCATTCAGCAGACTTTGGTAACTGACTCCACTCCTACTTTGGTCCTCCTCCAGAACCTACACTTTATGCTTTCCAGCTCTGCCCCCCCAAAGGGGGTGCTCTGTGATGTTAAGGAGGGTGGGGGATTCTTGACATCAGATGTAATGGGGGGTGGGGTGCTCTGAACATCTAGTCTTACAGATGCAACCAGCCCTTTGAGGGCAACCATAATGCTGATATGGCCCACAATGAAATGGAGTTTGACATCCCTGCTGTACAGGGACTGCAAGAGGCTAAAATGCCTCAAATATTAAATTAATCCTGTCAGTATATTTTCATGAAGCACAAGGTTGGAATCTCCCTTTCAAAATCCTACTCTCCCCCAAAATGTCTAGGTGTATACCAGCCAATCAGCATACATTTTTTACTATTTCTGATAAGTAGAATTAAATTGGACAGGTAGCTGTGGGCAGGGGCGGAGTGACAATTCATGGGGCCCCCGGGCAATAGGGGATCATGGGGCCCCTGTGTCCTTGCCCAAACTCAAAAAAGCCTATGAAAAAGGTACCAGGGGCATCTCATGGGGCCCCCTACTGAACCCGGGCCCTCAGGCAGTGCCCGAGTTTCCAAATGGTCAGTCCGCCCCTGGCTGTGGGCAATTTTCATTCACTCTGAATGTTATCAGAAGGTAATCCATGGTGTCATAGGTAGTCCAAAGTGCTAAAGACTTGTGTATATTGCAAGAAAATTAAAGGGGCATTTTTGGACTCACATCAACAGTTTTGCAACTAGAAAGATACAATATATTTCCTTTTGTATTGCAGATATATCTCTGAAATGGAACAACACGTTTTGTTCTGCCATATACTGACCCTCTTCAGCATTTCAAGGGTATGAATTCTCTAAGCTCAGCAAAAAAAGGAGACAATTGTAAAGCTGCACACCATTGAACTGCACTGATAAATTGGTGTGATGGATGTGTGCTTTCCACTGACCTTTGCAAAGTGGTTCAATGCAATCCAGGACTATGGTCACCAATATACGGTACATCAGCATTTACTATAAGTAAGACATGTGTTGCAGTTCTCTAATAACTCTCTAATAGCTTATTGTGTTTTAAAGACACTTTTGCCAACCTACTGAATGATTAAAGGGAAATGGGTAATTATTAAAGTGGTTGTAAATGCAAGACGTTTTTATCTTAATGTAGGGGCAGGCAACCCCCGGCATGGGAGCCACAAGTGGCAAGCAAAGCCTCTTTTGCCGGCACGTGACTCTCTCCCCATCAGCAGAGCAGTGCTGGGAAGTGTCAGTGAGACTCTGCTTCTGCTGCACTAATGCATTCAGATCTCAGAATTCCCCATGCTGCACTGAGGATAGGCCCTCTACCCCACACATTGCACAAGATGGGAAACATTGTTTGATTCTCTATCTTTGCTGCAGCTGTGATCATCACTCGCAGCTGCAGCAGAGATCCATCCAGCTCTTGTGATGGGGAAAAGATTGGGTGCAGTTTTGCTAGGGGGCGGTCCCTGTTTTCAGGAGGACTGTGATTGGCCACTGCTAAAGCCAATCACAGTCCTGCTAGCCCTGCCCACTATCTGGAGGAAGATGACTTACTTGGTTGCCACTACCAATTTCAGCAAGAAGGGACTTTACTGTGATTGAGAAAACCACAATCAGGTGACAGTTTGTAGAATTACTGTTGAGCTTCTGGGAACTTTGTTGATGTAGTTAGCTACCTGTCTCTTACCACACTGGCCATTTTATATTTGGGTGCAGAGTACAGGTGGTAAACCTCTGCCACAATTTTGTCTATTGGACGTTTGTCTTTCTGACACTTTAAAATGACTTTTTTGTCATATGTCACTTATTTTCCAATCCCTGTCCCCCTTGATCTTTCTTTTTTTCATTTATATATATATTTGTGTGTGTGTGTGTCATTTACTGCTGACCCCACAGCTTTGCGTCATCTACTACTACTGACCTCTGCCTCACCTACTCTTGAACCTTTGCATCACTACTGAACCCCTGCATTCATTGCATTGCTTTGTGCACTGGGACGCAGTCATGTTGGACCAGGAAGGGGCCATTCCCAAACTATTCCCACAAAGTTGGGAGCATGAAATTGTCTAAAATGTCTTGTTATGCTGACTTCTAAAGAAATCCCTTTACTGGAACTAAGGAACCAAGCCCAACCCCTGAAAAACAGCCCCACACCATAACCCCCCCTCCATCAAACTTTACACTTGGCACAATGCAGTCAGGCCTGCTATCTTTAGCTATTGACTCTGCAGACAGTTGGCAACTTCTGCGCACTGTGCACTTCAGCATGCGCTGACCCTGCTCTGTCATTTTACATGGCCTAACACTTCATGGCTGAGTTGCTGTTGTTTCCAGTTGCTACCATATTGTAATAATAACACTAACTGTGGCGACTGGACGCAGACAACCGTTTTGTTAAAGATCTACCATCTTGTATCATACTCTGCAAATGTCATTCTCACTCCGTTCAGTCTTCCCCCTCCCTTTTTGAATGGCATGTGTTGTGTGTGTATGCTGGGGTCACAAGTGCATCAGGCACGGCTGGATACGCTTCATGGTTGTAAACCCAATTAGCTGGTCCCATGATGTCTGTCAGACTCTTGCCTTGACCTGGTCGTAAAGCTATAAATCAGTCAGTCACTGCACATGAAAGCATTCCAGAGTGGCAGTAAAACTACATCCCACTTAAATCACGTTTTCATACAAATTCATAAATCCTGACAGGAACAAGGTACAATAAAACAAAGCATATATTCAGACAGGTCATTTTAATACAAGTCACCTGATACCTTACACCCCTAGGTAACGTCTACCAGAGAGTAGAAAGTGATATCTTTTTATCCATCACAGCCGGATATGTCATATTTGATGTCTGGACGTTCAGAATATGGGTCTGCATATTAACCTGCCAGTGGCTAGGCTGCTGCATGCACCTATGGAAGGTTATTGACCATGGTATAAACTTGGGAGGACTTTGGGTCACAGCCTGGGTCTCCGCCTAACACCCCTCCCCAAATGAGGTGATTGGCCCTTGGCTTCAGTAGACACCCCCTGCTGGGACACTAGAAAACAGGCTGTCAGGCCTGGAGAAGAAGAGGAAGAGATTCTCCCTTTTAACATCAGGAACCAACTTTGGGTGAAAAGGTACCCTTTTGTTCAGGACACTTAAACTCTGCTTAAACCAAGGACTTCTGCAAGTATCCTACCTTCTTAAACTTCTTTCTATTTATATATATATATATTGGCTACATCTTTTCTGTAAATATTTTTTATTGCGCCATTTTGCTCTTTAATGCAAACTAAGAATCCCTGTCTCTGAAGAGTGCTACCGTGTGTTTTAACCCTCTGCATACATCTGTCTGCGGTGGCAGTGTGTATACAGATGCTTATTCAAACATCATAGTGTTACTGCTAAGATTTGGGAGTTTCCTCCTTCTCTGTAAAAAGGTGGTGGTGGCAGTGTGAAGGGTTAATTGCGTAATTAACCTGACCCAGTAACAATTGCTCTCAGGCTGCTGGCACATAGATTGTGGTCCAGCGAGCTGGAAATTCTTTGTGCAGGGCGCAGCTGAGAGTGGCATTGTTACGCAAGTGGCAGCGCAGTCTTAGATTGGCTGGTCCTTCGGTCACAAGTTGGTGAGAAGGGCTGGGGTCAGACGCCGCACCCATCACACTAACAGTTGACCATGGAATATTTAGTAGCAAGGAAATTTCACGGATGGACTTATTGCACAGGTGGCAATCTATCACGGTACCACGCTTAAATTCATTGAGCTCCTGAAAGTGACCCATTCATTCACAAATGTTTGTAGAAGCAGTCTTCATATTTAGGTGCTTGATTTTATACAACTGTGGCCATGGAGGTGATTGGAACACCTGAATCCAATGATTTGGAGGGGTATCCCAATACATTTGGCAATATAGTATATACGCAGTGCATCCAGAAAGTATTCACAGCTCATAACGTTTGCCACATTTTGTTATATTACAGCTTTATTCCAAATGGATTGAATTCATTTTTTTCCCTCAACATTCTACAAACAATACCCCATAATGACAATGTAAAAGAAGTTCCTTTTGAAATCTTTGCAATTTATTAAAAATAAAAAGCAAAAAAAAACACATGTACATAAGTATTCACAGCCTTTGCCATGACACTCAAAATTGAGCTCTGGTGCATCCTGTTCCCACTGATCATCCTTGAGATGTTTCCACAACTTGATTGGAGCCAGGGAGGTAACCAAGCACCCAATGGTCACTCTGAAAGAGCTCCAATATTTCTCTGTGGAGAGAGGAGAACCTTTCAGAAGAACAACCATCTCTGCAACACTCCACCAATCAGGCCTGTATGGTAGAGTGGCCAGACGGAAGCCACTCCTCAGTAAAAGGCAAATAGTAGCCCGCCTGGAGTTTGCCAAAAGGTACCTGAGGGACTCTCAGACCATGAGAAACAAAACTCTTTGGTCTGATAAAACAAATATTGAACTCTCCGACCTGAATGCCAAGCATCATGTCTGGAGGAAACCAGGCATCGCTCACCACCTGACCAATACCACCCCTACAGTGAAGCATGTTGGTGGCAGCATCATGCTGTGGGGATGTTTTTCAGCGACATGAACCAGGAGTCTAGTCAGGATTGAAGGAAAGATGAATGCAGCAATGTACAGAGACATCCTTGATGAAAACCTGTTCCAGAGCGCTCTGGACCTTAGACTGTGGTGACGGTTTATCTTTCAATAGGACAACGACCCTAAGCACACAGCCCACATAACAAAGCAGTGGCTACGGGCCAACTCTGTGAATGTCCTGGAATGGCCCAGGCAGAGCTCAGTCTTGAACCTGATCAGTGGTGAACTGACAACTCATGGGGTCCCTGGGCAATAGGGGATCATGGGGCCCCTGTGCCCTTTCTCAAACTCAAAAAAGCCTATGAGAAAGGTACCAGGGACAACTCATGGGGCCCCCTACTGACCCCGGGCCCACGGGCAGTGCCCGAGTTTCCAAATGGTCAGTCCACTCCTGAACCCGATTGAACATCTCTGGAGAGATCTGAAAATAGCTGTGCACTGACGCTTCCTATCCAACCTGATGGAGATTGAGAGGTACTGCAAAGAAGAATGGGAGAAATTGCCCAAAAATAGGTGTACCAAGCTTGTAGCATCATACTCAAAATGACTTGAGGCTGTAATTGGTGCTAAAGATGCTTCAACAAAGTATTGAGCAAAGGCTGTTAATACTTATGTACATGTGGTTTTATTAATTCTAAATGTGTAATAAATTGCAAAGATTTCAAAACAAACTTCTTTCCCTATGATGTATTGTTTGTAGAATGTTGAGGGAAAAAATAAATTGAATCCATCTTGGAATAAGGCTGTAACATAACAAAATGTGGCAAACGTTAAGAGCTGTGAATAATTTCTGGATACCTCAACCCTCTGGGGACTCTCCATCTTCATTGGCTGAGACAGCAGTGGAAGCCATTGGCTCCTACTGCTCTCAATTACAGGCAGTGAGCCAATGAGGAGAGAGAGGTGGAGCCTCTGTGTGTGAATGGACATGCAGAGCAGAAGCTCAGGAGCAAACCAGCTTTGCTGTGATTGCTGTGGGGGCACTTGGCAAGAGGGAGGAGCCAGAAGCGTCAATGGGAGACCTGAGAAGAGGAGGAGGAATGGGCTGTTCTGTTCAAAACCACTGCACAAAGCAGGTAAGAATGACATGTTTTTTTTTTAACTTGCATTTAATATAATTTTAAATGCAAACAGTGTAACTACCTGAATTTGACAATGTATCAGCCTTTTCCAATTCCCTATACAGCAGAGCTCAGACTGGGATGGGGATAAGATGTCTAATGAGCCTTTCAGAATAGAGGAGAAATCTTCCAATGGAGGCACTTTTTCTCGTGACAACTGTCTAATGTGTGGGTTTCCTCTGGGTACTCCAGTTTCCTCCTACACTCCAAAGACATGCTGGTAGCTGAATTGGATCCTGTCTAAATTGTCCCTAGTATGTGTATGTATGAATGTGAGTTAGGGACCTTAAATTGCATGCCCCTTGAGGGTTAGGGACTGATGTAAATGTACAATATACATGTAAAGTGCTGCATAAATTGATGGCGCTATATAAGTACCTGAAATAAATAATCGGGGACATGCCTCACTTCCTGTTGGGTCTAGAGGACAGGAAGTAAGGGGAATGCTCAATAATGAAACACATATGGGAAAAATGACAAAGGCTTTAACCTTCCTCTACTCCATGTAAAATACAAAAAAAAGGTTTTGGATTTAGATATACTTTATTATTAAAAATACATGAAACCAAGGATGCCATGCATGCCAGAATGATGAGTAAGCTGACCTCTCTCACTTGCACGCTTCCTTTGATTGCTTGCTAAGACAACAAGTCAGAGAAGCAGAACTTCCATCTGGCATCAGTCAAAAGTGAAAAACAAACCCTCCATTCCCCTTAGGTATGTGCCTGGTTTAGGGAAAGGCAATCCTTCAGCTATTCTTAGTACCTGAATAAAATATTCTTAGCTTTGCTAATCCCAGTCATAGCACCTGGTTACATGACTAAGGTAAAGAGTACTGCACTGAGCTAGAAGGGAGACGGCCTGAAGATGAATGTGGACGCACTTGAAGCTGCTTCGATGTTGTTCCCAGCCACAATAAATCAGCAACAAGTGAAACCAAAATCTCATTAGCTACAAAATATATCTATCACCTTGGCGCTATTCCCAGACACGATACAGTACAATTGTTACTGCTTTGCTAGTGTTTCCAAATGTTAACCTTTTATGACACAAGGCATTTTTTATTTCAAATGCATCATTATAAAGAGTGTAGCTGTGTAATGCCCCTCTGTATGGTGAACATGTCCATGCTCTTAAAGCAGACATCCAAAAAATACAAAAACACCACACTTTAGTTACAGTCATGAAAAATCTATTCATGTCCTCAGTTTTCAGTTGCATATCATACCCCTTTTTTTTCTTTTTCTGTGCTTCCCTGAACGTGAGGCACACCTTCTACCCAGATATTATTTTACTATACTATTTTCTGGGTTTTTTTTTGCCCCAGTCCACTGCTATTTTGATTGCATAATGCTTCGTTGTGCTATTTCTCATTGTAACATTGACTTATGTAAGCATTGATATTATTTTCTAATTGTATCATTAATTTAGTCAAACCTAATCTTGAAAATTAATACAAATGTATTGAATGGAAAAAAATATTTTTTAAACTGCACAGCAGTCGCACTTTGCTGTATTGCACAGTGTTGCCATCAAACAGGAACTGGAAGCTGAATGGGGGACATGTTTAAACCGCTTACTAGAAGAGAGACAATAGGACTTCTGCAGCAGCCAGATCCTCTTTCACAAGCCAATTCTCAAGCAGGTGACAAACTTTGTGGTGGCATAGAAATGTCCCCCTAATGTGCAGAATGACAGGGATGTGTGTACTATAGGAGCAGCTGGGTAGAATGAGGGCCGGTACTGGACTATTTTGCGCCCTAGGCAAGACAAGATACGTGCGTACCTCCCCCCCCAAAAAAAAAATTAAAAATAAAAACATTTTTAAACAGTAGAAAATATTAAATCAACAAAACATGAAACTGCTAAATTACATTTAATTTGCAAAAATAAGTGCCATCAGATGCCATCAACACCAATATTAAAAACAAAATCAGTGTCACGAATGGACTGTATCTGTGGCTGGCAGTGGCAGAGTGACAGTTGCAGTGAGTGGAGGATAATGGATCCACACTTTGACAGATCTCCGACTGGAATTCTCCAAGCAATGGAGGGGGATAAAACGCTGTGAAAGCAGGCCGCTGAATTGAGCGATCCCATACAGTGACTGATCCGACAAAAACACACCACCACCAACACAGATCAGCAGGATCTAGAAGAGCAGGCTGTGGGGTGTCATCACTCACCGACACATTGCACATGTGATGGATGTCTGACTGACTGGGTCACACTCACACAGATATGAGACTTTAGAGTCAAACTTTACCTTCCTCTGCAGGCGCAGCTCCACCTTCTCAGATGAATGGGAAGAGGAGGGCTGGAACTCCACAATGATCAGCAGCCACCAGCTGGCTTGCAGTAAGGACTGAGTTGGAGAAAAACACTGGAAGGAGCAGCAGCTCAGCTGCTACACTGGCCCCAAACACCCGGCATCTTCCTCTGTCCTTTCTTCCTTCCCTCTGCTGCCCCTCCTCTCAGCTGAAGGTTCATTCATGACATGGCGGTTACCCTCACAGAGAGAGTGCTGGCCTGAGCTGCACCCAGGCACCCCTATGTGGCAGTGCTCCCTAGGGCGGCCACCTAGTTTGCCAAGTGGAAGCACTGGCCCTGGGTAGAATTATATATTTTTCAACGAAAAGCTGTATATGAATACCTATCTAGTTAGGTTAACCCACTCAAAGGTCTGGAAATACCACGAATATTAATGGTCTATTTTAATTTCCATTGTAGTAGTTAGTTACATTCAAGTAGACTGTTTTTCCCTTGAAGACTCCTTATCCAAACAGCTTCTTCACCTCTACTGAGTGTCAGGAAGATTCCTCAGCATTTATATCCACACCTGTAACTCAGTCACCCTAATCCATTTACAATGGCAGATGCTGACTGTCTAAAACACCATGGGAGGTGTGACAATTTGCTACACCATCCTGTTGTAATTACATAATCCAATCATATGGTTGCAAAAGTTCTGGGGCAGGTGCTAATCGTTAGAGTCACGTGGCTGAAGGTGTGAATTGTTGTCAAATCGGCAGGGTAGTGATGTTAAAATGACATTATATGTGTGGGACAGATATTAGAATAGTTTTTCACAAACCTT